GGGGTTTAGTTCTGCTGTGCATGGGGTCGCTATGAGTCGGAAACAACTCGATGGCACCTAACAACAACAATAACAACAACAATGGTCCAACCAGCCATTCAGCCAGCCAATTTTGATACCAGAAAATCAACCAGCCCTTTCCTCGCCCCTCATAAACAATAGTTTCCTTAGCCTGGGAGTCCCTGAGTGGTACAAATGGTTAAGCACATGACTATTAACCAAAAAGTTGGTGGTTTGAACCTTCCCAAAGGTGTCTCAGAGGAAAAGTCTGGTGATCTGATTTTAAAAGGTCACAATGTTGAAACACTTATGAAGTGTAGTTGTTTCTGCACACATGGGGTCACTATGAGTCAGAATCAACTTGACAGCAGTTGTTTCAGTTTTGATCTTTGCTTTCCCATGGTCTGTTGATTTCTTTCCTTTATTTCATTCATATACCCTCCCTCTGTTCAGTACTACTGCTTAACTATCTCTAATCTTGCCTAGTCATATTTGTCCTTCATTCTCAAATGTGTCTTTCTTTCTGCCAGCAGTTTGATTTTTCTAAAATTATCATTCCCTTGCTTAAAATATATCCATGTCTTTATACTTTCCTTAAGATGAAGTTCAAACCCCCTTATCCCATCTAAGGAACTCTCAGGTATACTACAACCCAATGAATATCATCTTTGCTATAAACTTCCTTGTATTCTACACTTCAGATATGTATGATTCTTGTTATTTATTAAGTTATTATTTTTTTGATGCATTTCATTGTCAGTTGTTTTGCCACAGTGGAAACTATTGAGGTTTTTGAACAAGAAAAAAAAATAAATTAAAAGACTGGAAAATATCTGCTAAAAGAACTAACAGATCTGTCCTGGAGGAAGTGCAGCCGAAAGTTTTAAATGATATCTTTAAAGTAGGTTTATAATTTTAATAATTTAAATTATATTTGTTTTAGGCTTATTATATGTGCAATTACTTTTAGATACAGAAAAAACTGCAAGAAAAGTTAATGTTCTCCTGTAATGTCACCAAGATTCTTATTAACAACTAGATGAATTTTCTTTCAGATATTTTTTGTTGCATCTGTGTTCGAATACACATACACCCTCTAATTATGGGATAAATTTTCCTTTTTTAATGATGGATATAATTTGAGGAAAAATAAGATCATCTAAGTATACCTATAGCAAAATTTATTGAATGACTGCCAGTGTCTTGGATATGAAACTAGTGTTACTTTGGGCAGTTAGATGGGACTTCTTAAGGCATTCAGCACAATAATCCCATCCTGAGAGCTTAGAAATATATAACCCACTTGATTCCACAAACCCTTGCATTTTTCTGAAAAAAAAAAAAAACTCCAAAAAAAACCCCAAACTCACTGCTGTCAAGATGAATCTGACTCATAGAGACCCCTCTTTGGGTTTCTGAGGCAGTATCACCGTGGAAGTTGATTGCCCAACCTTCCTTCCAAGCAATGGCTGATGGGTTTGATCCTCCAAGCCTCTGGTTAGCAGTCAAATGCCTTTGACACTAAGCCACCAGAGCTCCTTCATTTTTCTG